TTGGCTTTTTGTTCATGGCTTGGTCTCAATATTAATTCGGCATCCAAACCTGGAAACATGTTTCCTGGTCAAAATTCATGTGAAATTGACACCCTCAAATATCCTACATAGACCCTCAAATATCCTACATAGATCTAGGGTCTGATTTCCCATCCCCATAACTCGGTCAAATATCATCCGATTTTCACGAGGTTTGGCTTTTTGTTCATGGTTTGGTCTCAATATTAATTCGGCATCCAAACCTGGAAACATGTTTCCTGGTCAAAATTCATGTGAAATTGACACCCTCAAATATCCTACATAGACCCTCAAATATCCTACATAGACCTAGGGTAAGATTTCCCATGCCCATAACTCGGTCAAATATCATCCGATTTTCACGAGGTTTGGCTTTTTGTTCATGGTTTGGTCTCAATATTAATTCGGCATCCAAACCTGGAAACATGTTTCCTGGTCAAAATTCATGTGAAATTGACACCCTCAAATATCCTACATAGACCCTCAAATATCCTACATAGACCTAGGGTAAGATTTCCCATCCCCATAACTCGGTCAAATATCATCCGATTTTCACGAGGTTTGGCTTTTTGTGCATGGTTTGGTCTCAATATTAATTCGGCATTCAAACCTGGAAACATGTTTCCTGGTCAAAATTCATGTGAAATTGACACCCTCAAATATCCTACATAGACCCTCAAATATCCTACATAGATCTAGGGTCAGATTTCCCATCCCCATAACTCGGTCAAATATCATCCGATTTTCACGAGGTTTGGCTTTTTGTTCATGGTTTGGTCTCAATATTAATTCGGCATCCAAACCTGGAAACATGTTTCCTGGTCAAAATTCATGTGAAATTGACACCCTCAAATATCCTACATAGACCCTCAAATATCCTACATAGAGCTAGGTCAAGATTTCCCATCCCCATAACTCGGTCAAATATCATCCGATTTTCACGAGGTTTGGCTTTTTGTTCATGGCTTGGTCTCAATATTAATTCGGCATCCAAACCTGGAAACATGTTTCCTGGTCAAAATTCATGTGAAATTGACACCCTCAAATATCCTACATAGACCCTCAAATATCCTACATAGATCTAGGGTCAGATTTCCCATCCCCATAACTCGGTCAAATATCATCCGATTTTCACGAGGTTTGGCTTTTTGTTCATGGTTTGGTCTCAATATTAATTCGGCATCCGAATCTGGAAACATCTTTTTTGGTCAAAATTCATGTGAAATTGACACCCTCAAATTTCCTACATAGACCCTCAAATATCCTACATAGAGTTAGGATAAGATTTCCCATCCCCATAACTCGGTCAAATCTCATCCGATTTTCACGAGGTTTGGCTTTTTGTTCATGGTTTGGTCTCAATATTAATTCGGCATCCAAACCTGGAAACATGTTTCCTGGTCAAAATTCATGTGAAATTGACACCCTCAAATATCCTACATAGACCCTCAAATATTCTACATAGACCTAGGTCAAGATTTCCCATCCCCATAACTCGGTCAAATATCATCCGATTTTCACGAGGTTTGGCTTTTTGTTCATGGTTTGGTCTCAATATTAATTCGGCATCCAAACCTCGAAACATGTTTCCCGGTCAAAACTCATGTGAAATTGACACCCTCAAATATCCTACATAGACCCTCAAATATCCTACATAGAGTTAGGGTAAGATTTCCCATCCCCATAACTCGGTCAAATCTCATCCGATTTTCACGAGGTTTGGCTTTTTGTTCATGGTTTGGTCTCAATATTAATTCGGCATCCAAACCTGGAAACATGTTTCCTGGTCAAAATTCATGTGAAATTGACACCCTCAAATATCCTACATAGACCCTCAAATATCCTACATAGATCTAGGGTCAGATTTCCCATCCCCATAACTCGGTCAAATATCATCCGATTTTCACGAGGTTTGGCTTTTTGTTCATGGTTTGGTCTCAATATTAATTCGGCATCCAAACCTGGAAACATGTTTCCTGGTCAAAATTCATGTGAAATTGACACCCTCAAATATCCTACATAGACCCTCAAATATCCTACATAGACCTAGGTCAAGATTTCCTATCCCCATAACTCGGTCAACTCTCATCCGATTTTCACGAGGTTTGGCTTATTGTTCATGGTTTGGCCTCTATATCAATTCGGCATCCAAACCTGGAAACATGTTACCTGGTCAAAATTCATGTGAAATTGACACCCTCAAATATCCTACATAGACCCTCAAATGTCCTACATAGATCTAGGGTCAGATTTCCCATCCCCATAACTCGGTCAACTCTCATCCGATTTTCACGAGGTTTGGCTTATTGTTCATGGTTTGGCCTCTATATCAATTCGGCATCCAAACCTCGAAACATGTTTCCTGGTCAAAACTCATGTGAAATTGACACCCTCAAATATCCTACATAGACCCTCAAATATCCTACATAGATCTAGGGTCAGATTTCCCATCCCCATAACTCGGTCAAATCTCTACCGATTTTCACGAGGTTTGGCTTTTTGTTCATGGTTTGGTCTCAATATTAATTCGGCATTCAAAACTGGAAACATGTTTCCTGGTCAAAATTCATGTGAAGTTGACACCCTCAAATATCCTACATAGACCCTCAAATATCCTACATAGAGCTAGGTCAAGATTTCCCATCCCCATAACTCGGTCAACTCTCATCCGATTTTCACGAGGTTTGGCTCTTTGTTCATGGTTTGGACTCTAGATCTATTCTACCCAAATCTGTTAATATTATTTCTTGTAAAAAATGCATGTGAAAAGAAAATAAATATGCAAAAATTTGTTTCCTTATATTTATATATAGCTGACATAGAAACAATCTAGGCTCGGTTTGCTATATCTTATAGCATATGAAGTTTTTTGAAATAATCATGAACAAAAATATCCAAATTTTATTAATAATCATAATGAAAATAATTAGACCATTTTATGTTACATGTATCTGGAAGGGTATTTAATATAGAATAAGAAAATTGAATTTGCAATTTAGCTACACGTTCAACGCTTTTCAGGATATTAATGCATTTTGATGCCGTTTTCTTAATGCAGCCTTTGCTGTCAGTGAAACCTTTAGGGATGCAGCACAAAACGGAATCAAAAAATCAAATGCTCACCAGACAGCAATTGCGAGAGCATGTAACTGCGTGTGTGTGAGCGCCGCTCACTCGACTTTCATTGAAAAGGAAAAAGGATATAGGGTATTCATTCAAGGAATGTATGTCGCTTGCGATTATATCTATTTATGCGGCATGGGAAAACTTTGACTATTTGCCCCGCCCACAGGCAGCTCATCTAAATCCATTTAACACCCACACACACATACTTGCAGTAAACATTCGCTAATGATGTCAACGTTTAGCGCAGTACCGAGGCCCCCAAATCAATAGGCCGAAAACAAAGTAAAACTTATGTGGCTAGCAACATTTCTGGCACAAGTTGCAAATTAAATTTACATTTCATGCACGTAGCCGAAGGCAACCCCCGCCGCCAGGCCCCTTAATTGTGCTGCCAAAAAGCGGCTAGTGAGTGGCACAAAGGATGCTGCATTGAGCCTGGCCAGCTGCCAAGTCGAGCCAATTATGTGGCATATGAAAAGAAGCTGGCAGCGGCGAGTGAAAGCGCGCCAGCTGCAAAAGCGAAATCAATACGCGCAGCATTAACTTGAGCGCCAAAGACACGCCATGAACTCATTAGCTTGCGACACACAGACACAAAGTTGCTAAAAGACACTCAAGATGGGGTAACGAGCTGTATGTGTGTGTGTTTCCGCTTGCGATGCTGTTGGCCAGCTTGTCATAAATGACGCCATCCTGTCAGCTATAATACCAGAACTAGACAAAACTCTGCGTCTAAGCAAATAGCTTAAGATATCGTCATGATATCTCATTATCATAAGACGAATTATATATTTAGGAGACATCTCCGACCCCATTAAGTATTCTAGATCGATAGCTTTAAAACTGAGAGACTAGCTCGCATAGAAACAGACAGACAGAGCGAAGGACATATCGACATAAACTTGGCTCTTAATCATGGGGTCACGTTCATGTAATCTTCTAGCAAGGGTATATAAAAACAAACAAGAAATCCTAATGTATCTGTCCGAGTCAAAGGCTACTTTTTATATCAGATATCATATTATTTGTATAACAAATTCACAGCCTTTCAAGCTTGTCGAGCGAGGGATGCTGGCCAGTGTTGCCAATTGCCGCAATTCCCAAGCCAAAACTAACTCAAAAAGCTTTCAGCGCACAAATTAGCAATAAAATAAAATAAAGTACTTCTGTACTAATTAATGAGATGCCTAAAAAAATAGTGAAATCAGTTTAAAATTTGAACAGTTGCATGTTGTCCTCTAAAAGTGATTTAATTAAATTTGATTTTAATGGAACTGGCAGCACTGACAAGCGCAAGCATATCAGAGTTGCAATGCATAAACAGAGTCGCATTGGAAATATAAAATATATCTATAACTGGAAGCAAATATTACGTGATTTCTATGCTTATATCATTTTTACTCGACTTGTGATTATAAATGGATGCAACTTTATTTTGGCAAATTCGAAAGCTAACAAAAAACTACTTTCCAAGCTTGCAACAGATATTGTCATTCGAAATCAATTAATATATATTTAAACTAATTTCTATGCATTTTTATAAACTTATAAGCTTGCCTCCTGTTTACGTGCCCTTTGTTTGCCCTTGTCTGATGTTCATTTATTTCTGGAAATATTGTTATTCCACAGCTTTATCATCTAATCATCGCTATTGGGACTATCATCACTATGTTAGACATAATCTTGTTTATGTCAATTTTACACTACAATTGCTGTGAAACTTAGTATCTGGTTAGCTGAATAATTGGGCTTGAACCAGGTTCATTTCTTATGACTTTTTGTTTTGACCGTTTCAAAATTGTTTCAATCACAGTAGGCAACGCGTCTCCTTCCCCGAATCGGTTAAGAGCTTCAGAAATAGTTGTTTTAGTCTTCTGGCTGTGCTCGAGCTGTGCGCACTCAAATTTTCCATTTTAATAACTTGATTTGAGAAAAAAAGCTAAACTTGCCTATTGGAATAAGTATCAATTCAGGTAAGTTTACTTTATATGAATATTTTCGATATTCACACATACAATTCAGAGAACTTTTCTAAGACATTTCTTGCCTGTTTTCTCGTATTTTTTTTTTGTTTTTTGTTTTTTTTTTGAAAGAAATCTAGTCATGTACAATCCAAAGAACCAAGTGCCCAACGAGGAGGAGATACGCACTCAGAATGCTAAGAAACTGAATAAAATGAATATGGATAAAATGTTGCCGGTGCTGCCGAAGAAGACGCCCTGGCAGGAGGCAGTCGAGATGCTGCTGACCAACAACCTGGAGAAGGATGTGAAGATAACAATCGGAAAGAAGGTCTTCGAATGCCACAGCTGTGTGCTGCGCACATTCTGCGAGCTATTCACCGGCACACTGCGTCCGGGCAACAATGTCAGCCTGCCGGAGGATAAGGTGACCGCGGATGCCTTCGACATAGCCTACAACTGGATGATCAACTCGAACAGCAATTGCCAGCGTGGCAAGCTGTTGGATCTGCTGCTGGCGGCACAGTATCTGTGTGCCACAAAACTGTTGCAGAGCGTTGTTGGTGCTCTGAACGATGAGCGCTACTTTTCCAATGTGGATGCACTGAGCTGTTTTGCCGAGGCCTGCAGCAAGGGCATTGATAGCGTTGCGGAACTGATGATAAATCGCTTTGGCAAAACGTTTCTGGTGCTGGTTTCATCGGAGGAATATCGCGAGCTGGACGTGCACGAGCTGTGCAGCTTGCTTGGCTCCGATTTGCTGGGCGTGCACACCGAGGTGGAGGTATTCTATGCGGCCTTGATGTGGGTGCTCACCGATTATCAGGAGCGCAAGATGCATTTGCGTCGCGTCCTAAAGATGGTGCGCTTTGAGCTGATGCCGTCGCTGGTTTTGCTCAATTTTGGCGAACGACTCAATGAACTAATGCCGGATGCCGTGGATTTGATGTTCTTTTTGCTGCATCTGGCCGTGATCAATAGCCAGGCGCGTTCGAGCATGCCGCTGGCCAAGGACGGACTGCGTCATCGCATCTACATCAGAGATCCCAAGTGCCCCTATTTGCATTTGCTTGAGAATCGAACTGAAGAGCTGAGCGCTACGCTTTTCAGGGACTATATCGTATCGCTGGAAGACGATTACGAGCCCTTTCAAGCACGCATAACAGAGGTAATCGAGGGGGAGGCCGCACAGTAAACGCGTTTAAATGAGAATCCCAGTTACACACACACAAACCATATTAAATGCGTTCTAATAAACTATTGATGCTACTCGAATCTGTCAGGTTTCGACATTCCTTGATAGGTTAAAACTCAAACTTATCGATAATTCCCATTTGGAATCCTGTGAGTCGATTATTCGGACTAGGGGACAATCCTGGAGCAAATGTGCTCTACGATATTCGTGTATTCGCAAATATACAACAACCTTTGGCTTAAAATTGTGGTAAAAGAAGCGAAAAGGTCAAAATTGATTCCTTTAAGCGATATCGATTCTTATCGATTGCTTAGAAACGGTTGCTATCGATTTTCGGAAACAAATTCGAGCTATACGTATCTAGCTGATTTAATTTGTATCCAATATGTATCCACATATTTTTTCAAAAATATTTCGTTTCGACTTGATCTTAAAATTTGCATTTGATTGAGTGCAAGTATAAAACGTTTTATTAAATCACATGTGAGAGCTGTATTTTCAAGCTTAGCTAAATCCTTAAGATTTATCCAAATACCAATCCCAACTACTCGCTGCAACAGCATTTGCAGCAGTAACAAAAAGACTCACCAGGATGAAGATATAGAAAACGAGAGGAGGGGGCAAATCGAAGCGCGGCATTAAAAAGATATAGAGTTCGTTTACGGCATAATGCTGGAAGATGTTGATGTCAAAGCAGCGGTGGCAGGCGGTGGGCGGTTGACTGGTGTCACAGTGGGCGTGGTGCTTCAAAGTGTAATTTAATTAAGAGCCCCACCAAATGGCGACACTAAATATGCGCCACACATAAAAGAAATGGCAGAAACAAAAATCAGTTTCACTAGACGGCGCCAAGGGAGTAGCGCGTCTCTGCGAAAGCGTGGGGCCAGAGTACTAAGGACTAAAAAGGACAAAGGACATTCACTGCAGCACAGCCAGCGCCACTTAATGAGTTGTTTGGCGACGTGCGGGGCGTGCAGTAGGGGTAGGGGCTAGGGAAAACAGACTGTGTGTAAAAAAAAAAATAGAAACGGACTCAAATGCATTTTTATGTTTAACTTTATGTCTTCAGTGTGAAATGCTGAAAGTGTAATTGGCCGACTCGAGTACTTGGTAAATTTGCATAGCACCCATTTGGAATAGTTATGTTTAAGTGGCATAAATACCAAATGGTTAATCCTCATGTTAAACTAGCTAGCAAAGCGAAGCACAAATTAATATTTACAATAAAAGTACATTTGAGCAGAGAGAACAAATTTGTCTCGAGCTAAATTACCCAATTAAAATATTCTTTTTTATATTAGTATTTAAGGGATGACTGAAAATTGGAATGAAAGAGAATTTGCGAGTTTTAATCTACAAATAGGTTCAGCTCTAAAGTATACTATAAAAGGCACAGCTCGAGCATAAACTGATATATGGCATATTCCGATCGGATAATGTGCTCCGATTTTTGTCTTTTAAGATATCTCTTTTATAACGTTATAAATTAGCCTAGTTTTCGTATTTTGCTTGAAAATATCACTCAGAATGTATGGAGCATCAACTCATGTAAGGCACACTCAGATCGGATCCTGTGCTCCGTTTTTTTTGTGTTTTTACAACCGAACCACATAAACTTGCAACAACGACAAATAGCAGTTCATTTACACTACCACGTGGCAGCCAGACCCTAATCCCTTTTGCCGCTCACTCACCTCGATACATTGGAAACTCGCCATCGCTGTGACTGTGACAGAGCATTATCGGAGAACGGCAACGCGAGGCGGCGACCATGATGCCCGTCTTATGGTGTCCGGCAACAGACAGTTTGGTGGCCGTCAAGTGGGCGGTGGACGCTGACGATGAGGAGCTGCTGCTCGCCGTGACCACGTTTGTGGGCAACGGATTAGACGCTTTTAGCTGTGCTGCAGACAAAGCGTTGCCAGCAGCTCCGCTGGCTGGCGTCATGGTGGCACAAACGGAATAGGAGCGCGCCACATGGCTCAAGGTGCGACGCCGTATAGTTGCGGCTGCTATTGTTGTTGTTGCGGCATTCGCACGATAATGATGCTGCGGTGTCGAGTACTGGTAATGGTGGCCCGACTGTTGCTGTTGCTGCAACTGTTGATAGGCGGCGGGTGCACCGCCTAGCGACAAATGATGCTGCAGCGGCGGATGCGGATGCGGATGAGCATGAGCTGCCGCGTATGAATTATGCGTAGGCGGATGCTGTTGCTGCTGCTGCTGCTGTTGGTGTTGGTGTTGGTGTTGTTGAAAGGGCGGATGCGAGTGTTGATGCTGCAGCAGTTGTCGTTGTTGCTGCTGCTGTTGCACGGCGGCCATTTGGAATTGCTGCTGCAGCTGCTGCAACAGATCATGCTGCAGTTGCTCATTGCTCTTGCCTGCCGGTGTCTCTTGGGCTTGGGTCTGCTTTTGCTTCTCCCAGGGTCCGTTGCTGTCGCCGCCGTAATCCAGCTTGAAGACGTTTCACTAACACTCGCGAACACTCACAGACTGGGCCTAGCTCATCGATGGCAGGTTTCTTGCACTAATTAAGGCGCCGCACGTCGCCAGCCAAATGGGGCAACATTAAAACGCGCTCGCGTCTGCCAACAGCTGATGCATTCGGCCAGGATTGTCACTTATTTATGGATCGCTCGCTTGCTCGTGTGTGTGTGTGTGAGGATAACTATGTCGGTCATACAACAGGACCTACTTGAAAACTTTCATCAAATAGCAGCACACGCGAGCACTTACGCACACACATACATATAAACATATATAAACACACAAACACACACACACAAAAACTGTGGCTTTATCAAGGAGACAACGCGTTTACGCTCACATTAACCGACAACTCGACCAGTTACGTTGGGCTTAAGTACAACGACTGATTGCACGAAGCTTTGTTATCCTGTGCAAAAGCTGCCAGCGCAGACAAAAGCACAGTCAACCTGGAGAGCCAGAGGCTGCAGCAAAGAGAGCCAGAGCCAGAGAGAGAGAGAGAGCGAGTGAGAGCGAGAGCGCACGCTGGCAAAAAGCACAAAACTGGACCAACAGCAGCCTGTGTGTGTGTGTGTGTGTGTGTGTGTGTGGGAGAGAGAGCCTGGTCTGTTTATGAACATTCTTTGCATGCAACGAGCGTATGTTTTGCCAACTCTTCCACTTTGTTTACCGTAAAAGCGTACACGAAAAAAGAAAAGTAAGACAACCGACAACACGACAGCTATGAAAAGTGTGGCACAGTTCAAGGCGCAACACAGTGGGGCAATATCGCACAGAACTAATCAATCGTAAAATCGACAATTTTTTTTTACAACTAGATTCCGTTTTAATGCATAACGCCCTTCTATGCGATTTTCATACAATTTTGCACTTGAATGATTAATAAAAAAATATGTTTTCGAGTTTTTTTTTTAATTTCTCACTCTCTTTCGCTCCCTGGCTTTCTCCTACAGATTCTCTTTTCACTTTGTTTTTTTATAGTACTCTCTCTCTCTCTCTCTCTCTCTCCCTCTCTCTCACACACTCACTCTGTCTATCTCTCTCTCTCTCTCTCGCTCTGTCTAGCTCTCCCTCTTACGAAATCTTTCCTTCCATTTTTTAACTCGCTTGCTTACTCCCATTTATATTTGTATCATTTACTCTGCAATTTCTCTAGCTTCACACATGATATTTATTACTTTCTCTATATATTGTCTTCTTGCTCGCTTTATTTTTATTACTTTCCCTCAATTTCTAATCTTCGCCCACTGTTCTCTCTGTCTTTTACGCCATCACATTATGACGCTTACTAAAATAACAGTGCAGCCAGCAACAATTTTGTTCAAGAGAATCGCATAGAGGGGCGATATTTGACAGAATCTCTTGTACTAATTAATTCTTTGTAGCTAAAAATCAAACTCGAAACATCGTTAAAAGAAACAAAACCATTTAGTCCAACCGCTTTTTCAAAACCCAAACAAAATATCTCAATTGACTATAGATAAGATAAAACTGTGCGTCATGCTTCATAAATTTCGCAATGTTATCAAAAACTTCCAGAAAAAGTAATCTTCAAATACATTTAATTACGAATATATGTTACCAGTGTATGGTGCTAGTCAATTGATGCCATATTCACCCATTCCCGAACCACTGAGTGAGCCATTCAAGCACGAAACACAACATTCTGAGCGCTGGGTTCATTCACCCAAACCAAGGCACAACGTGAAGCCCCAGTCAGGCAGCGTAAACAGCTGCTCCTGGGGCCAGGACCCAAACAGATTTCAAGAGCAGCTGCAAAGCTCTCAAAAGCTTTTTTTCCCACCAAGAGATGCACGGAGCGGGCCGAGAACAAAAGCGTAACCCAAAAGAAAACCTGGTTTCTGTGTGTGTTTTTTTTTCTTTCGTATTTTTTTACGAATACGCAACGTCGCAGTCGTAATTTATTTATGTATTTGTCACTGGGTCTTTTGATAAAGTTGTTGCCAGATAATTTCGATGGTGCCCACAGGAGGCGGAGCACAAGAAGATGGGGCCTGGCTCGCCCCACTGATAAGGACGCCAAGAAAGTCGATATCATAATACAAACACATAACAGGCGCACAAAAATGCACAGCAAGCAGCCCAGCATCAAATGGTATGTTAACCATATCAGCATTGGCCCTGGAATGGCACGGGAGCGTGGGGTGGGTGGTTGGTCTGGTGACGCCCGCTGGTAGGTCGCAGCTCTTTGCGTGGGTTGTTGGGTTTGCCGTGCGCAAACGAAAAAAAAAAGAAGAGAAGAACAAACTGCTGAAAGTGTACTTATGTGTGTGTGTGTGTGTGTGTGTGTGTGGGGGTTCTGTTGCTTGTTTCGATTTCTGCAGTGCTGTGTTTAAGGGTCGACTACTTTAGGGGCGTTCCATAGAGTTTTGGGCAACAAGTTGCATTTGCACTTACCGCTTATATCACGATCATAGAGGTAACTGCTGGCGCTGCTCTTAATGCTGATGCAGTCCAATGGCGTTGGCTCGAAAATGTTGTACGAATCGCAGGAATTAGCGCCGGGCGTGGTGGGCGCCTCACCAGCTGTCAAATAGAAAATTTTGAGCAACAAAAGAAACAAAATTGACCGACTAAAATATACCCAATACATAGCCTTTAATTTCAATGACTTAAACTTTTTCTTATTTATCTTATTGCATAAATAACAGACTTATTGAAAAATGATCAAAGCACAGTCTTAGCCTTAAGAGCTACGTATGCTTATATCATATATCTTATAAGGAACGCTCACTTAGTTTAGTTTAGTTTCTTAAGAATCACCCGGACTTCCGTTGCAAATTAAAAAAAGTTTTAACATCGCCCTACTATGCGATTCTCACAAATTCAAGCTGGCAAGTTTATTGCGCTCAAACTTAACCAATTTAACCAATTCAAATATCATTCACTTGTTATATACGAAAAGCTCTTGATTAATTCAGATATAACCCGTTTTAGACCGTTCTAAATAAGACGCACAAGAGTAGATATTATTTAAAAGCTTGAGTATTTAGTACTTAAAGCTTAAAGCATATGTACCAATACTTTCGGCCTTCACATATAATTTTAAAAGAAACAGTGTTGAATATGGTCTAAATTAATGGGGACGACGGTCTTTGAACTGTTTTTTATAGTTGCAAAGCTTCCAATTCACATTTGCCAATATGTTAAGCTGATTCTTGTTCAGATGCTTAAAGATTTCATCGTACACTTCGCTGGGCAATCCGAGCAGCGACGGATGCGGATGTAGATCTAAGGCCAAAAGTTGCTGGGCGCGCATCGGCTGAAAGAGATTTTGGCGCAGCTGTAACGAGAGCTCGTCCAGCTTGCAAAAGCGCTGATAAATCGGCTCTAGCTGCACATTGAGCACAAAACGTCCAATGGACAGACAAGTGCTAAAGCCACGCTCCTTCGACGGCGCCACCGGGCTAAGTGTTACCACCATCAGATCGCCCAGCACAATGGCAATGAGACTTGACTGTAGCGCAGTCATCAGGGGCGGCTCCTGCGCGCTTTTGCTGTCCAGCAAGGTGCGTAAGAGCATACGAAACGCCGTGTCCTCGAATTCCCTGGTGTAGTGTGTCGGCAGATGGCTAAGCAGACGCACATTAAAGAGATGAAAACAACCAACCGCCGGCACTGGCTTCAGCAGTGAACGCTTCTCCAAATAGCTTTGATTCTCCACAAATCCCGACTCCAATGCGACCAAATAGATGAGCAGCATTAACAGCTCGGCGGCAGATAACTTGCGATGGCCAAACTGGCTAAGCATTTCGCGTAGATGCAGTGGCACCGCATCCGGCGTGGCGTTCTCTAGGCATAGCGGTTCCTTCTCCTTTTCCTGCTCCGCTTGGACTTTTGTTTCGGACGCCGCTGTAATGAGGCAAGGTTTGGCAATGAGAACACCATGTGCATGTTGTTGTTGATGTTGTTGTTGTTGTTGTTGTTGGGGTTGTTCTTGCATCGGTGTTGTGTGTATGTTGTTAGTTGACGAATGCGGTGGATTTTGAGAGTCTATGAGAATCACAGAGATTAGTTAACATGTGCAACAAACATGTATAGCATAAATAAACCAACCTGCGGTGCGTGTGTGTGTGTCATGCGTTACCAAATTGGAATCTACGTGCATTTAATTAATTTATATATTTTTTTTTCTGAATTTTTTTTTTAATGCATTAAAATTGTATACACTACAAATAAACACAAAACTCAAAGGTGCTAATTTGTACAAAAATTGAGCGCGTGTCGTGACACGAACAAAAAAAAAACAAAACCAACACGACGTGTGCGCGATCCAAACAAAAGCCGTTTACTTACAACAAATATATACATAAATAAATAAACTATTACTTATCAAAGTTAAGCAATTTTACAGCTTAACAGAATCGTGTTTGTTTATTTCCCATCAAAAATTGTTACACAACACTAAAAGAGAATAACTCAAGAAACAAACTCGAACGAATGCACAAAGCGTGAGCGCGAAATATTAAAAAAAAAAAAAATAAAAACAATAAACAAAAGTTTGCCAAAAAAAACTAAAATAAATTGTGTGCAAACATAAGCAACACACAGCAGTGAATATATTATATATATATTAATTACACAAGAAAACTTAATTTTCGTACTTCTTTTTTTTTTTTTTTTAATTTTTGCTTTGTGTGCATATTTGTCATCATAAATTTTATGGCCTTATTAGTCAGCGACATAACATAAACTAAACCAAATGACATACAAACTAATCATTAATATTAATAAATTAAACTATTTTGTAGCGATAATATTGTTTGTTTATGTATTTTAATTAACAATAACCAGCTAGAGGCGCTTACTAACCTGTTGATGCATCGGCAGCGGCTGACGGCGCATTTGACGATGACGCAGCCTTTTCCGCTGCTGCTGCTGCTGGCGCTGCTGCGCCGGCGTCGGTGTCGGCGGCGTCAGTCTTTTTCGTTGTTGAATCGGGCATTATACGTTATGTGCGTATTAATTTCGTGTGCATTACGTTGTTTTTTAATAAATTTTGCTCAAATAATTTGAAAATCATTTGACTAAGACTTAAACGCGTTCTGCGTTCCCAACACACACGTTCACAAATTTCCAACAATGACAAGTGCACTTTGCAGATGCACTTAATTCGCGGCGAGTTACTTTAAACAATTACTTGGCACTGTTGCGCGGGGCGCCCGCACGAGTTTGTCATGTTTTTTACGAATGCTTTTGTTATAAATAATGCGACACAATAATACACCGAAAAAGTTAAGTCTTTAAAGTCCACTTGTCTTATTGAAACTATCGATACTATCGATTAATGTGCCCAGCTATCGAATAGAACAGCTGATCAGTGCTGCCAGCTGCCGCACAAAAGAAGTAGCCGTATCGGAAGTTAAAAATGTTGCTAAAATAAATTAAATTAGCTTTTTAAGCTAATTTTAAAATTAAGTAAATAATTATTTGTCACTTGGAAGCTAAAGATATTTAAATTAGTTCAAAGATCCACCGTTTCCGGCTGACGATCTCTAAAATAGTACAATTTGGTTAGAAAGTAGCAAAACTGCAGCTGATATGTAAATAATAAAGAAACAAATAATTGTCAAGCACTAATGTTGGATGGTTTACATATTTAGTTAGTTAAGCGCATGCATTTTGTATGTTATTCAATCTAATGCGTATTTGCACAGCATACAAGTTTATCTTGCTGCGCACAGCATACTAGCCTTAAATACTTATCGCACACTCGCGATGCGCTCATCTCTAATTGCCGGCAAAAAACTTTGTATAGCAATTGCATTGGCATGACTTCCATTGAGGAAAATGAAATGTTTATGGTTAAGCAGGCGCAAAGCGTGCGCAAAAGTGATCCCAGCGCGGCCAAGGCATGGATATTAACTGCCAAGACGCTCTATCCGAATGCATTCAATGTGCAATACGAGGCCTACCTGCTGGAGCGCGACAGCAAGAACAGCGAGGAGGCGGCCAAGTGTTTCAGTGTCATGTGGGTGGCAGCCAAAATCAGTAAAGAAATCACTATAGTATTAAATAAACACAATTTTACAGCGCCAGCAACTTTACCAATCAGCATGCAGAGCTGTGGCAGGAGGTTAACGCTCTGACCAATGCGCTGCGCAACGAGACGGAAAACACGCCGGAGCAGGAGTTCTATGTGAAGATGTACAAGCATCTGACGCCGGAGGTGCAGCACAATATATTTGTGCACACGATCAGCAATTGTGGCGATAATTTACAGCAGTGCATACACAGTTATATACTTATGTTCAACAAGTTCCCCAAAACGGCGGCAACGCATGCGCCCCGTTTGCTGGAGATGCTTGCCGAGGGCATGAAAGCCGATCCGGATGTGTATCAGCGCATGCTGGTGGAGGAGGTGCTGCCTTTGATACAGAACAAGCCGCCAGAGCTAAATCCGCTGCTGGCCTGCCGCCTGTACACCAACTCCCTGGAGTATTATCTGCGCCAGATCATGGACGATGAGAAGTGCGACACAACGGAGGCATGGAAAAACATATTCAAGGTGCTCATGCTCTGCGGCCAAATGATGGGCTGGGAGGCCTTTCTGCCCTTCAGCAAGCAGGTCAATCAGAATGTCTATTGGGATAAATTGGTGAAAATTCTGCGCAGCAGTCCAGCTGGCAGCTCCCAGGTGCTGTTCTATGCCACCACGCTGTTTATCTACTCGCTCCACGGCTACATACGTAAGCTGCGCATAGAAGATGCCGATGTCAATCATGTGCTTGTGGAGGGCTTTATTGACTGGACGCCGGATGGTGGCGAAGTGCAGAGCATGGACTGGACGCCGGATGGCGGCGAAGTGCAGAGCATGGAGCCGCCGAAATTTTCGGCAACCACAGCAATAAGTCAAGAGCTATCCGAAGCCTTTCTCCATGCCGCGCGCTGCTGGCAACTGCTCAACACAGAACAGTTCCAGCGCGATTTTAGTCAACTGATGCTGGCGCTGCCGCTGGCGCCATGGATATCGCGCTTCCTCTTTGATCTGGCCATTTACTTCGGACATCGCGATGAGGCCAACAAGCTGATGGCCGACATGACCGCTCAGAGCACCCTGGTGCAAAGCCTGCAAATACTAAGCTTGAATCTAATGCAGGGCAGCATGACGGTGAGTGAATCCTCTAGAGAATCTAGAGATTAGGGTTTTTCACTCTCCAAACTTTTGCAGCTTCAGGGCTTCCAGTGCATACTGAAGATACTCGCGGAGCTGCCCGCCACCAGTGGCCAGCTATTGGAGAACATCAGCCTGAAGAGCCACAGGCACATGATCTTTCTGCCGCTCACCAAAATAGCGCTCATCCAGTATTGCACACGCGCCATAACCAGTCGCCTGAGCCGCATGCTTTTCGAGCCCAACTGCTCGGATCGGCTGTTGGCCGATCTGTTGGCACTGCTGCAGCTGAGCCCCGACAAGGATGTGCTGCTGAAGCAACACATCTTCAATCTGATCACGCAACGCAAATCCTTCAATCTGCACATTCTGTCCAACTATATCATTGCAACGGATATCATCGAGGAGCTGGCCTTCATATGGAACTCGCAACAGCAGGACGATGCCAATTTTGAGCTAACCGGCTCGCCCACCGGTAGCAGCAGCAGCGGTGCAACTGGCGCCACAAACGCCGCAGGCGCTGCACAGCCACGACGCATTGGCACACGCGGCGCCGACAAGGGCGCCCGCGATGAGTTCAAGTCTTTGATACGCCAGCAAATTGCGCGCTGCAACGAAAATGTGCCCAATCTGGTCGCCAATTTCATCACACAAGAGCAACTGACGCTGGCCCAGCACATCTTTGGCATTGCGCCGCCCGTCGAAACAATTGTCATCAAGTGAAGCGAATCTTGCTTGCACTGAAACAAACATATCTCGAAGCTTTTCATGTATTGTAAATATAAATGTTAAGATAGATCGATATATTTATAAATTTAATTGAAATCTAAAGTATGCTAGATATATGTAATCTGCGAAAATCAATTTTATTTTAATTGTCTAGAAATATTTATAATTTTTGTGCCTCTCAAGCCGAAAGTCTGAGGCTTAAGCAAAATTCTTATATCATGACATATTTTCTTTTACGTATCTATAAAAACTTAAATCGCCTGGATTTGAGCAAAAATTAAACAAATATAAGTGCTCTAGGCGAAAGTAGCCGACTAGGGGATACCCTGGAGATAACAATTGTTTTCAAATTTGAGAATAGTTTCCAGTTGAAAACTTGATTATGTTTTATTTACAACATTAAACAATTTAAAAGTTATAACAAATGTGAGATGTTTCTTTAATCCTATACAAAATAGGAAATTTATATAGTTCTAGAGATTCTTGTGCAAGACAAAGACTTAAAATATAATTCGATTTGCCCTACTTAAGGTACCATTTTGAGGATAATAAACATTTAAGAACAAATTAACAAATACAACAGTTTAATTTTGAACATTTTGCACTTTGCTTTCATGGGTTACATAACAGTTATATAGTTATTAATATATAAATTGTTGCTAATAGCCTCTCGCTAGCGTTATGCAGAACATTTACGGACAATAATACAAAGTAAATACGATGACTACTAACAAATTTGGTTGTTAATTTAGTTTTATATCACATAAATTTAATAAAATGCTATCAATTATGTTTTGCTTGTTGTCAGGGTATTAGCTGATGGTGATGCTGTTCCAGATGGATTCCTGGCCGCAATCGGCACATCCTTTGAATTGGACGCAACATCGATGGGCAGATCGATGCCAAAATCATGCTTCATATAGGACATAAGCACATTATAGACTGCCGTGCAGACATTGACAAAGGCGACACGGTATTTGGTGTCCAGATAGCGAAAATTGATATATTGCGCCGCCGGCCACGTTAGCCAGTCCATCAGATAGATATATGGAAATTTGGCTAACAACTCCTTGTGTGTCGCCTGCAGCGTTTGGCCCTCCAGATAGCAGACCGTATAGAAGAATATCAGTATGCAGGCGGGCGACATGAACAGCTGATCGATCAGTATCTTATTGACGATATTCCGAAATGAACGATGCGGCATCACGCGATCCATCCAATTATAGACGAAATGATGCAGCGGTCCCTGCAGTGCGCCAGCGACGAACATGCGATAGATACGCTCGCCATCATAACGATCCTGATTGCGTAATCCGTGACGGTATTCGTACTCCTGGGCGATGACATCGCCCACGGCCATCAGCAGGCCGGAGCCGAGCACATTGGTGACCAGCAGATATTTGCCAAACATTTTGCTCCACACCTGCTTGGACCAGCGCAACAGCATGAATGTGTTCGCCTGGCTGGCCTCGCCCTTGCCATGTGTCTGGCGCCTGGCAAGCATTCTGCCCATGCTGGTTACATTAGATCTAGTCGCGAGGCGGCTCTTTGTGAGCGTTGCGAATGTACGGCGTATGCATTGGTGTCTACTGCACTGCAACAGGGGCTGGTACAGGGCCGCTCCTCTGGCCGTCAGCTCAAGCATGCTGTTCTTTTCTGCAGTGTGCTCGGCACCTCGGCTGAGCAAAAATTCAAAAAATAACGTGCGTTCCGGACTACTGCCTAGTTTCTTTTTTTTTATTTTTTTTTTTGTTTTTTTATTTCACGTTACGAATTCGTGTTTGTTTTGCTTATCGGTTTGACATAACGGTGAACGGGTGGTTGTGGGTAACGGGCGACGTTTTTATCGGTGAGCATTAATGCGCGTTGCCAAGCAGACCTGAACAATTATCGATAAATTAAAAAACCGCAACATTTTTTATATTTAGTAACGTTATTAAATATAAAATTTAATTAATATTGCTATTGACAGTTCTCAACTAATCGAAATGTTTATAACGAGTTGAAAGAAAGTAGAAGTAGATATAATAAATACGTAAATCAAACAAATACAGCCAATTGCTGCAGCTTAGCTGCGATATATCGATTACTCTTAGCTATCGGTTGTCTGCGTGTCAGTTGTGCAGCCCTGGCAACGTCGGCGTCACTTTGCTCTTTGCTTTGCTCTTTAGTTCGCGTTATTTTTAGGCCGCCTAACACAACTTTTTTCACAACGCCAGCGCGCCAAATGTTTTTCTGGCTAAAATAGAAAAAATTCCATCAAAACACGCAAGTTTCCGCTTATAAAACACAACTCACACGCAGCGCTATCAAAATTTTAAGGTTAGACACGTACGCCGCTTACAAAACTCTCAATAAAAACAACAAAAATTATGAAATTTACATAAAAAAAAAAGGTTGACAGCGTCTAATTAATTCTTTTGTTATCTGTTTTAGTTAACAACAAGCAAAAGCGTAGCCATTATGCGGCTACTATACGTCTTCGCACTGATACTGGCCGTGCGGCTGGCATCGGTTTTTGTGGTCAAGACCTACTACGTGCCGGATGAGTACTGGCAGAGTCTGGAGGTGGCTCACAAGTTGACGTTCGGGTAAGCGACGGCCGGGGGTCCAGTCTAGAGTTGGGCGCGAGTGTGACACGTGCACGCATGACGCAACGCAAAGATCGGATTGGCTACGAGTCAAACTAAAAGGAATTTGCTAAAGAAAAGAATCTCTCCACAGCTATGGCTACCTCACCTGGGAATGGGTACGCGGCATACGCAGCTACGTTTATCCGCTAATAATAGCTGCCGTATATAAATTGCTGGCGCTGCTGCAGCTGGACAGCGCCCAGTTGTTGGTGCTGCTGCCACGCCTGCTGCAGGCCACGCTGTCTGCCTACTCGGATTATCGGTTTTACGTCTGGACTGGCAAACGAAAGTGGGCGCTCTTTTTGATACTCGTGCCCTGGTTCTGGTTCTACACGGGCTCACGCACGCTGGCCAACACGCTGGAGGCATCGCTGACCACAATTGCCCTCAGCTACTTTCCGTGGTATGGCGAGGGCACCGCCTACTTGTGGCCAGCGGCAATCTGTTGCTTTCTGCGGCCCACAGCGGCTGTTATCTGGCTGCCATTGGCTTTCTATCATCTGCGCAAGAGCCGCTTGTCTGTGCCGGAGCTGATCCTCAAGCGCTTTGTGCTCATTGGGTAAGTACGCGGAGCGGGAAGTTGTTGCCGAACCTATTAACAGCCTGTTTATTGTTTCAGTTTGCTGGTGGCCGGCGCCGGCATTGCCATAGATACCTACTGGCATGGTGAGCTGATTGTGACGCCGTGGGAGTTCCTCAAGTACAATGTGCTGCACAACATTGGCAGCTTCTATGGTTCGCATCCGTGGTATTGGTACTTCACTGTGGGTCTGCCCACAGTGCTGGGCATCAATACGCTGCCATTTATATTTGGCATCATGCAAACGGTGCGGCAGGGCAACAAGTTTCCGATTAGCAAACAGCTCTTGATTAGCATACTGGTAACATTGCTGGTGCTGAGCACGGTCGAGCATAAGGAGTTCCGTTTTGTGTCCTCGCTGTTGCCGTTGTGCCTGTACGTGTCGGCGGAGGCGTTGTCACGCTGGAGCTATCGCGCCTCACGAACTCAACTGTGGGCGGCCGCCTTGGTCATTCTGGTGGGTAATGTTGTGCCCGGTTGGTATCTGAGCACCGTGCACCAGAAGGGACCCATTGAACTGATGCCTAAGCTAAGGGAAATAGCTCAGGAATATCGCGACGAGCGCGAACAACGCGCCAATATACTCTTTCTCATGCCCTGCCACTCCACGCCCTATTACAGGTAAGCGTTGACACATCTTTGACAAATCTTATAAACCGCGTTATATTAATGCGAATATGCTTGCAGTCACATTCACGAGAATGTCACGATGCGCTTCCTAACCTGTGAGCCCAATCTGGAGCAGCGGGATAACTTTAAGGACGAGGCTGATCGCTTCTTTGATGCACCCATGCACTGGCTGCGCTCCCACATACCGGTGCATCCGCTGTCGGCGCTGCCCTCGCATCTGGTGCTATTCGATACGCTGGGCGACAAGATCAGCGAGTTTCTAGCCAACTACAAGCTGCTGCACAGCATTGAGCATGCCGAGGTAAACAAATTGGTTGACTCACAGGCGTTGCTGGACGAGTGGTCGTCAGCGTTGGGAACGCAACTGCCTAATGTCGCGTCTCTCTTGCAGTACGTGCAGTCGCGCACCGGTAAGAGCATCCTGGTCTATCAGCGTCTGCAGACGGGCGAGGAGAATGCATTTAATCGCCAGGAGTATCGGGAGCAAGAGCCTGATTTGCCGCAAACGAGTGAGAACCTGTTCAATTGAATATTGTATTTTTTGCTGGCATTTTATGTAGTTATTTGCAAATTTTCAAATTTCATTTTCTTTTAAGTTGTTTTGGTAAGACTTAATGCAACAGTTAGCCCTCCGTGAAAAGCAAACAAGTAACAAATTGAAATTATTAACTTTACGGCCTTAGGAACAGTTTTTAAAACGTTTTCGAAACAAGTTTTTTTTGTGAGTGAACGCGTTTTCTTTTTTTGTACTTTTGTGGTAGTTGATAATTTTCATTTTAACTCAATAGTTTTGTATTAGGCGAAAAGTGTCTAAAGTGAGGCAATATATTTAAGCGTAAAGTAATATAATAATTAGTGTCATTTTTTAAGTTCTTTGAAATAAAGGTTCAGTAAAATAAAAGAAAATTCTTTTTGTTTTAAATTTAAAAAAAAAAAAGATCGATACTTTTTACATTTGACATGCTCGAGCATGCGTGATCTTATATTAACATAAGTATATTTAATGAATATTATATATATACATTTTATAAATTTCTCTATTTTAGAAGCTAGTTCATGTGATAAACTGATAAAATATTAAAATAATACAACATATTAAATGATGCGGCGGCATCGATTGGCGATGCTTACGCACAGCGAAATGGAGATGTCACCATAACGATTATTATGTTCAGCGGCAGTAATCGATATATCGATGTGCTCGAGGCAATATATCGTGTTGAGGGTCAGTGCCGTCGCCGTCGTCTGCATTAATTAAACGCGTTTTAAACAATAAGCTAGTCAGTCCGAGCAATTGCACAGCTTCAACTCGCACAAGCGACAGCAACAGCAAAAAGCACACACACACACAAAATGGCTGCTTCAATGAGAGCGCTGCTAAAAGTGCGAGGTAAGTGAAAAAGAAGAGAAAAAAAAATCTATTGCGAAACAATTTCAAAACGATGTGTGTGCAAAATTATATAACCGGCAACGATTTGTGGCATGAAAAAACACAAACAGAATATGCGGCAACAAGTGGCAGCTACAACCATATTGGGTTTGGATTAATTGGAAAAAATTAAATGGATTCTCAGGCAAAACGACGTGGCTGCAGCTGCTGCGGCGGCGGGTGGGTGCATATGTGTATGTGTGTGTGTGCGTGTATGTGGAAAGAAGCAGAACTTGCTGGGGGAGTGGGCCATGTTCAAGGTTCACATGTGACCCGAAAACTAGAACAAACACAAAACAACATTTTGACAATGGACATTTTTCAACACTGCTCATTTTTTAACATTTGCATCTCTACTTCAGATGGCTTCGCTGCCAGCGTTCGCTGCGGCTCGCAGTACAACAAGACGCGTGCTAATCTCAAGCTGAACGGCGACTCCCGTGTCATCTGTCAGGGATTCACCGGCAAACAGGGCACCTTTCACAGCCAGCAGGCGCTGGAGTATGGCACCAAGCTGGTTGGCGGCATTTCGCCCAAAAAGGGCGGCACTCAGCATTTGGGCCTGCCGGTGTTTGCCTCCGTTGCGGAAGCGAAAAAGGCAACGGATCCACATGCCACGGTCATCTATGTGCCGCCACCAGGTGCCGCTGCTGCCATCATGGAGGCACTCGAAGCCGAAATTCCATTGATCGTTTGCATCACCGAGGGCGTGCCCCAGCACGATATGGTCAAGGTGAAGAGCGCCCTGGTTAGCCAGGACAAGTCGCGTCTGGTCGGACCCAATTGCCCCGGCATCATTGCACCCGAACAGGTTTGTAGCTGTTGCAGCTGTTGTGTGTTGCCTCAAGACAGCAGCTCGAGAGATAAGGCTGATAAGCGTTGGGTGCAAAGTTCAATCGACTAAAGTGATCGCGGGCTTGTTGTTTGTCATACCCTGTTCACAGTGTACCGAAGGGTAGATTGGATCGATTACTTGGATTATATGCTAATGAAGGTGCGCGAGCAAAGACCTCTTCAAAAAATTAGCTGTGCACCCTGCATAAATGTGAACAAATAGATTTCGACTCGGCCCAGCTGGTTCATCATAACGAGCGCACACTGTTTTATGCTGGCATTGTTTATTGGCGCTTATCTCTCGGACCCTGTGACGCTTGAATTTGTATCCACATATATATATAGAAATCTATATATATTTATTGATTAACCTGTTTAACCTCGGTTTGCAGTGCAAAATCGGCATTATGCCCGGCCATATACACAAGCGCGGCAAGATCGGCGTTGTGTCCCGCTCGGGCACGCTCACCTATGAGGCGGTGCATCAGACCACCGAGGTGGGTCTGGGCCAGACGCTGTGCGTGGGCATTGGCGGTGATCCGTTCAATGGCACCGATTTCATCGATTGCCTGGAGGTCTTCCTCAAGGATCCCGATACCAAGGGCATCATACTGATTGGCGAGATCGGCGGTGTGGCCGAGGAGAAGGCCGCCGACTACTTGACTGAGTTCAATACGGTAGCATCAAATGATATAACAAACCGAATCCAAAGCTAATCACATACGATCTCCTTCACACAGGGCATCAAGGCCAAGCCGGTGGTGTCGTTTATTGCTGGCATCTCGGCGCCACCCGGTCGTCGCATGGGTCATGCCGGCGCCATCATCTCTGGCGGCAAGGGCGGTGCCAACGATAAGATTGAGGCTCTCGAGAAGGCCGGCGTTATTGTGACCAGAAGTCCTGCCAAAATGGGCTACGAACTGTTCAAGGAAATGAAGCGTCTGGAGTTAGTTTAGAGTTAAACCAAAACCAAAATTGAACAAAGTGTGACAAAAGAAAATGCCGAGGTACCACAAGTACGACTCAGATGAAGGAATATGCAAAGCAGTAAAGATTATTAACTAAATTAAGCAAAAAGTGTCCGGAGAAGCGAAAACAAACAAATAACTAAATGAATTATGTCGAAATCCTAAATAAATTATTGTATAATTCGCCCAAATGTGAAGTGACTACGAACAGTATAAAAACCAACGATCTGAACGAACTGAGCTATGTATTCCATAAAAATAATCTAATTAACTGCCGTACCACCTTTATATATATATATATATATATATATATATAAAAGTTGAAGAAGTTTAAGAAAATGCACCGCGCACCTAAGATTCGAATTATGTTGTTGCACTCGCTTTGAATGCACTCAGAAAAGTCACCGAAATTTATTTTAAATATGCTTTAAACGAACGAATAAACAAATCTAAAGTTGTAAACATGCAAAATAAAAATTGCATTTAAAATTGTTTTTTAAATATAATAACATAACAGTTGCAAATAACATAGTGCACTTAAACAGAAAATGTTATGTGAGTACATGCTGTTAGGTTGAGGAGCATTTCTGTTAAGTACTGAGTACATTTCGTTAGTGCACTTGTTATCGATACTATCGCTGGCAGTGCAGCTCTACCCCAGCTGTTTCCATATAACCCACCAGAATTTTGCAACACTTGCACAGCAAGCGTAAAAGAAAAAATTTCTTTGTGCAATTTACAAAACATTTCGTGTGCACCGTGAAAACAAACTATAACAAATTAATAGCCGTGTGTGAAAAGCAGCAGCAGGCTGCAACAATATACCAATCAAACATCAATCAAACACAAACAACAATAAACACAATCACAGCAGCCAAAAGTATCCCAGCCATAAATCAACACAATGCCAGTGTGCAAATCGCCTGCTGTAGCATCTCAAATGGACAGCAGAACTGAAAATGGTGAGTATCGAACGGTATTAGTGCATAAACAAATACAAACACAAATGCAAACTGTACAATTGCAGTCTTTTGTTTGCCATTCTTTGCGCATATGTATATCTATATATATATATATATTTAATTATCAATTTAATACATTTCGTTTGTTATTGCTGCTCATTTGCGGCGTTTTTAAGTGCCGGCTGGCTTATTTTGTAATCGGCCGCATAGCTTGTTTCCAATCTTTGCGATTTCACCAACTGCAGCTCGGCCCTGAGCCGGCAAGATTTGCCCGTCTTGCTGCGATTGCCATAGCTGAGCATCAGGTCTCGATCTTCTATCTTGGCCGGCACTTTGCCGCTCTGCTCCACAGCCGCCGTTGCTTGCGCCTGCTGCTTGGGCACAATCTCGTACAAGATCGTGTAGGTTGTTGTGAAATTGCTGCTCATATCTTTGGTCAGGGGGAAACGCACTTGGGTCTGTCTGTTACGTTGGTGATTGTGCAACGATTCGTTGCGTGCGCCCAGAAACTGTCGCGTCGAATCGTCCGCATCCTCCAGCACAGAGGGCGGCACATAGTTATCATTGATTTCGGTTATGTGCTTCTCGCATGCATCTATACGCTTCAGTCCTGGCAATATGCAATCGTTCTTCTCAGCGCTGCCCAGGCGCAGCTCCTGCCAATTGGCCAGCAGCACCTCCTTGCCATAGTTCTTGCTAATGCGCTCGTCAATGTACGAGCCGCGCGGCAGCAGACTAAACATTCTCAAATATCAGTGGATTCAACACTAAAAACTTTAATTTGCGTATAACTAGGACTTGCAAATTTAAGAAAAAAAAACAAAAAATTATATAAAAACTACAAAAATAAAATGTTGGAAATATTACATTTCGAACTTTTAGCACATGTAACTAACAACTAAGTTTTAAAATGACATCACAATTATACAGATGTATTTAAATTTTTCGATAGGGCGAACAAGTAATCCAGTTAAGCAGTTCCGTATAATTGTTGGGCATATTTGCAAAGATATAAACTTAATCCTTATTGCTGCATTTGCTTCATAAATAGCAATGCTTGAAAGGTGGCAACGCCATAATGAACGGTTCTATTGTGAACAAAGTGTGCTCAAAGTGTTGCAAAACGTAATAATTATTATTTATTTTCATATAACTTTATTTTTTTTCGCCGTTTACTTTCTTTTACGTATTGGCGTTGCCAGAGTTTTGTTTTCGCAGCAGTTAAGTTGGCTGCGGCTTGACCATGTTTATTTAGTTGATGCAAAAGTGGGGTTAACCCATTTCTTGTAACTCATGACTCCGCTACTCTCCTGTACTATATTATAGTAATTTATATGTGTGCTAAGATCTGCTAAAATTCAAGTAAAATCATCAGCAAGGTATATTGTCGTGCTCATGTCCAGATCTCTGATTAAACGGTTCTCCTTTGAATTGTGTGTCTTGATTCTTTTATTGGACGAACGCTAAAGTTGTTGTAGTCTTAGGAATATATTTGTTTGGTTTGAAAATAGATACGGAATGGATCGCGATGCGTTTTTCTACGCCATTGTTGGCGTTTTTCGAGTGGGTTTTTATTGAAAATCTATTTTGTGAAATAAAAACGAACCGAGCCACCAGGCCTGGCGGCAGGGCCGTCAGTGCGCATTCATTGCGTCGTGATCATTTCGTTGATGTTGTTTTTTCCCTCTTCTTCTTCTACCCTGTACCCATTGGGAATATGTGAAAATGAGAGGTATAATCAGTTTTTGATCTGGAGCTCGAGCTGAGTCAATCTTTGAGATTTTGAGAGTTGAGGGAGATATACATATGTGTAGTTTCTTATATATTATTTGGAGAACAACATTCTTTAAATTCTTTTATAGCTGATTTCCCCTTATCGATAATTATCGATTTTAAAACTTGTTTAATTTGAGCATATTAAAGAAATTAAAAGAGCTTAAGACTTTAAATTTAATTTTTTGTGCATATATGTGTATACGCTATCGTAGAGCATATCAGGAATAATGCTATTTATTTATCGATAACTCTAGTTATCGGTTCGATTAATCGTTTGCAGCCTAGTTTCTTACAGTAGACGCCATTTTTGTTATGTGGGCAGACACATAGCCTAGAAAGGATCAAAGACATATTCTATATGAAAAATAAAGAAAGGTACAGCTTTTTTTGGTATAAACATAAGTGTGAATATCATCTTAAGGCCTCACAAATTAGTAAAAGAAATGAGCTAGGAATTATTTCTAAATTAAATACTTTCGAGGTGCAACACAGAGTGCAGAGACAGAGAGAGAGGAGAGGTTTATGCTACAGGGTAACTGGCAGTCGTGCTTTTACTTAAGCATTCTCACTTGTATTTGTTGCACTATTTGTTGTTGTTGTTGAAATAACCCGGGCAAAGCAACGGCATTACTTTTGGCTAGCCCAATGCCTGGCTATGCTAAATACACATGCTAGATATATATATGCACCTATATCTTGTGGCGATATTTACGCTGAACATAACTGAAACAGACAGCACGCGTTGCATGCCGCAGTCTGTTGCAGTTGCAAATGTTGTTGTTCAGATGATGCCTTCTAAACGAAATGTCGTCGTCATCCCAATTGTTATGGTTCATTCTCTAGTTGTTGTTATTGTTGTTGCGCTCGGTTTCGCTTCGTTCGTTCGTTTTTCTGTTTACAAAATTCACAATTTTTACTTGAACACAACATTGTTTTTTGTTTTTTTTTTTCTTCTCTTTCTTCTGTTGCGCGCCCAGAAATGTTGAGAATTTGTGTAAATTAATTTATGAGTTTTTTCACGCCACTTTATTTTATTTGTTACACTTTTCTACTTTGTATTTTTGTTTTATTTATTTATATACTTGTATCTATGCGTATAATTTAATGAATCTGTGATAAGATCTTTGATTTGGCGCAAGTCTCAAGGCAGAATTTACACACACACACACACAAGTCTGCGTATTCTATTTGAACAGGCCCCCAGGCGGGGCAGGCAGCTGCCTCTTTGCATAATTCATAACTCCCGCAGGTGCTGCCAGTAGCAGTAGCCGAAGGCGGTGGAAGGGGGCGTGGGAGGTCAGGTGGCGGTGGGTCACACAACAAAGCAGCAATCAAATGCGCCCTCGTGTGCCCCCTCGTGTATGCAACAACATTTTGTATATCTAAGGCATGTAAAATACTCGTGATGGGCATCTTGGGCTGGCTAAGCTAGTTGGCCAGTGTTGCAAAATGCATGAGTAGAGTTTGGAGTGTTGAAAAATGAGTTCAAGAGCAAAAAGTTGAGAAGTTTAGTTGATTGAATTAAGCTATGTGTGATACTAAAATCAATTATAAATTAGAATAGTTTAAATTAGCACTGAAAAAATGTTTATTTATTTATAAAAAGACGTTGCTCAACACTTAAAAAGCTAGGTTTTCATTTAGGCTTTAAATGGTTTGACTTTTTCCAACACCTTCTGCTTTTTCATACCTAATTCACTTAATGAAAAACAACTAACTTAATCCATTTTAAGTTAACCTCGCCTTAAGCCTTTATAATATGCTCGGCATTTGCAATCGTTTGCAGGACATCTTTCTGAGTCATCTTAGCAGCCAGGCTCGATTCATATGCTTGTCTCTGATGTGCTTAGCTGGCGTTTTATGCTCTTTGAGAGCCTGACAGGACACCAGCACGCGCAGCCACCCGCACATTTCAACTTGTGTCAGCTAAAAAAAACAAGGCAGCATGATTGCAGCTGTAGCCTGGCCTTTGCCAGGATGAAGAAAGCCACTCGCTCGCAACACACACACACATACATATAAGCTGCATAATCTGGCTGGTTTAGTGAGTGGTTCATGGGGAAGGGGGTGAGATGGGAAGGCGGCTGTCCTTTCAGGCTGAACATGCGCGACGCTTAAAGTGACTGTCGTGTCGCTTGTCTGTTGTGTCTCTTGTCTGGGTCAAGCGGTAAAGTGAAAGCAACAACAACAACAACAACAACAAGCGGCGGCAAGTGCTATTTGGTTGTTGTCCTTGTTTTCACTGCCGCCTTGTTGACACCTTTCACGGCCGACGAATTAATTAAAGTGCCCCCGAGGTGTTTGTCGTAAAGCATTTAGCATTTTAATTGCGTCATAAAGGCAGCAAAAGCATAGAGCGCATAGAGCGCATTTCGTGCCCTTTGACATTTGACGCCTAATTAGATGAGATTAGTTTGGTTAGGCTGTAGGTGCGTCCATTCAGGCATTAATTGAAGTCAAGACTCTTAATTGCCACGCCTTCTGGAACCAGTGTCACCCACAGGAGCGCAGCGTCGGAAGTGTTAAACGCAGCATCCTTGCTTTTATACACGCCTGGCACTTGGCCTCGAAACGCATTGGCGCTTTTAAGCTCACACGTGCGACAGGCACTTGTCAGCTCACTCACTCACTCACGCTAACTCGCTGACAGCAGCTCTCGCATACTCTCTCACTCGCACTCTCTCTCTCGCTCTCTGTGTCTACGTTGACCCAAATAAGATGTCGTAATTGCACCAAGGCGCTACACTCACGACATCTACACACACACACACACACTTAGACAGTCACTACGACGTGCAATTACGTTTACGTTACGTTTACATGAACCGAGAGCCGAGCAACAATCGTCAGAAGTTGCCATCTTTACTTACGCGCTGCGCTCTCTCTCTCTCTCTCTTCCATCTCGCTAACAAATACACTCTCGCTCTCCTAATGAGCGCGCGCTCCATGTAAACAATGGCAGCAGACATATCAAAGCTGATGGCTTTAAACTTTTAGCGTCGGCGTTTCGTTTCATTGCCATTGTTCCGCTGCCAGGCTGTGCATATATTATTTACTGCGACGCATAAGCCTACCCCCCGCCAGCAACCTACACTTCTGATGCTGCGTAGTGCTTGTTTAAATTTAATGATGTGTGCGTGTGTGTGTGTGCATGTCATAAAGCTAATCGCTGCGAATTCGCATGAATTGGTTTTCAATTTGCATTTGTTTGCTGCAAGCGCGGCTTATTGTGCAGCACGTTCTGTTGCATACTTTGAGGCTGCAATCGCACGCTCTCCCTCTCTCTCTGTCTTCCTCTCTGCTGTTTCTGAATCTAGGACACGGCGTGCTCAGTGCAAATCCTTTAACTACTCAATCGTGGCACATATTGAGGTTTTGCCTATAGTTACGGCAACTGACAATGAAATCCTCTCACACACATGCACACACACACACACACGATTACAGTTAACTGCGATTTTGTAATGCACTGTCACAGCCCTTCTCCTCCTCCGCCTCCGCCTCCGCTCACTTCCTCCTTTATTCCGCCCATTAACCAACGGTTCTGTTTTACAGTTATATATTCGTAAAAGCTTTTTTATTGCCCACTTTGCACGGCCGATGAAATTCCATTAATTTATCTAAAAACTTGCACATTTCCCTTTAGGCAGAAAATGTAATTTGAGATCCATCATTGAAATGTGGATTTTGCCCGTTTTTAATTGAATTGTAACTTGAATTTTTTGCAACTAGAATTTTTGATTTTTATGTTTTTTTCTCTGTCTGATATATTGCGATAGTTTTTAATTGAATTTATGCGCCTGATTGAATTTTAAATGTAGTGCCCTTTTTTTTATCTCTAACTTTAAAGCCTATCTTCAGTTTTTTAAAGGTTTTTATATTGTTAACTTATTAAAAAAAAAAGCATCAAAAAAGGTTTGATTTTCGAACCGACCTGGATTTTGAAAAAAATCGTGATGATTTGCAAGGTAATATCTCCGCGCGGAGATATGACGTTTTAAAATCGATGGCTTAGAGAAAGTTGTTGACCAAAAAACGATTCGTTTGTAAAGTCAACCTTTTTTGATGATTTTTTTGTATATCTCGGCCAAATAATGTCCGATTTTGTTATTTTATATTGTTTTGTTTAATTTAATTATAAGATAAATTAACCTGAAGAATGTAATATTTTTCCCTCTATCATTAATGGATGCACCTAAACACATACGTAGGAATGTAATTTTTTTTTTTATAGAGATATGTGCATGTATATCTCTCTGTCTTTTGTGACATATTCTTTAAGCTGAAAACGAACTGAAACAAAAGTTTGTCTCGGTAACTTTTCACTATATACCTAAGGGAAAGAAGTTGAATGTGTGTAGATAATTTATTAAAAAAAGTATGTAAAACAATAGAAACTTTTCAAGCTTTATTTTTATATGGTTGTACTCATGAATAGAAACAAAACACAAAAAGATCTAATTATATGGTTATACAAAAAAATACTAAAAAATGTATTTTTATGTATATACATATACTAGAACCTTAGCCCTCTAATATGCTGCACACACTAAACTATAAACTCGAACTAGTTTAATTGGCTTTTAAATTGAATGTTTGGCTTTATCTGGCTTTATTTTTGATTTGGAATTAGATGCATAATTAGCATTCAATCTGAGCTTGTATTGAGCATTAAATAGCTTTGTGCTAGGAAATCGTAAAGTTTTTGATTGCACGCAACAAACTTTTGCGATAAACATTCCTGTTTGGCACGCACACACACGCACACACGCACACACACATACACACATGCATACACACATACATGTGTACAATATGCGTGCATACATAGAGGCTACTCCAAGGTCTTGTCGTGGCCTGCTTCGAAGCCAAAACGATGTATAGATAGGCAAAGATGATGCCCAGTAACAACAACAACAACAACTGCAGAAATACACGCACCAGGAAGGACAACACAGCGATGAGAAATGCCACCCCAAAAGCAAATCGTGCGCATTTTGGCTCTGGGGCATAATACAGTAAAGGAAGCAAAAGAGACAAGGAGTGGTAGAACGAGAGAGAGAGAGAGGGAGAGAGTAAAGGTAATGACTCTAAGCGGGTCGCGGGAGCCACATGCTTTAACCTGTTTTCCGCGAAGCTTTTACGCACTCGGACTCGGTCGCCAGCTAAATAGAGAGAGAGAGAGAGCTAGAGAGAGGGAGAGCTAGAGAGAGGGAGCGAGCGTTCTTACACTTACCTTGCCACCCTTTTTGCTTTGCAAAGCACAAATAGAGCAGAAGAGCGCGAACGAAAGCGAGCGGAGAGCATGTGTGTGTGCGTGTGTGTGTGTGTGCCCCAGCCTGAGCGATGCTATGCTTTTCTGACGGCCTTTTAGCGTGCGGTGGCCCAGTATCCATTCGGTCGTGTTCCCATAATGTCTGCCAGCGGAGCGCAGTGCTCGTCGCCGTCGTCCTATTCGTCGCAGCCGTCGTCAACGTTGTCATTGTCATCAGCAGCCGCAGCAGCAGCAGAAGCAGAATCAGCAGCAGCCGCAGCATCAGCAGCAGCAGAGGAGCAGAAGCAGCAGCAGCTTAAAAATACATTTTCACAATGAAGCAAACGGGCGAAGGCAAGAGAAAATGAATTAGTTTGCGCTGTTGAAGCTAAAAACAAATACGAAAATATCAAGCATACAAATAATACAATAAATACAGTTCGGAAAATCGTGTGGAGACACACACAATCGTGAAAATGGCACGCGCGTAGAAATAAATAAAACAGCAACAAAACGAACGGAGGAGACACCAAAAAAAAAAAAAAAAAACGTGTGCGTGTGTGTGTGAAATAAGAACGCAGCGTATATCGTATACACACATACATATACACTCATCTATGTATGTATTTTATATATGTATGCAGGAACAGGAAGCCCAAAGGCAGCCCGGCGCAGCGTATAAATATAAAGTGTAAAAAAAAATTGAATTGAAAAGCATGAGCAACAGCAAAAAAAAAAAAATACATACATTTTGTTTTCTGCGCTGCCTTTTCTTCGCTTGTGATTTTTGTCGCGTGAAAAATGCCAGCGGAATTTTCATTTGAGTTTTAAGGTTTTTTTTTTCGTTGCCTTTTTTTTCGCATTGCCTTTTTGGTGTATTATACATACACAGCGACACACGTTTTTCACACAACAAACACACACATACGCGCGCAAACACACACACACACACGCGCGTTCGTTTCGTTTCGTCTCTCGTTTCGTTTTTCGGTTTCGCGTCGCGTTCGTGTCGTTCCGGTACGTGTTCGTGTGTTCGCCCCACAGCCGAGCGAGCAGAGCGCTTGGCGCTCTTCTTTAGCCCGTGTGCAGTTGTTTGTTTGTTGTTCTTGTAATCTGTTAACATAGGAAGCCCTGTAAAAGTTTTGGGCGCACACACAGCCCTCGCAAATGGCGCAGTTTCATTTTATTTATTTATTTTCGCATCGAAATATGTATAGCATAAACAAACAGTAGCTATAAAATGCTGCCAGCATCTCGTTTGAACAATGCAACGCGGCAAACTTCCATTTATATTAATGTGCACGCACTGACAACTCCCTCTCTCTCTCTCTCTCTCTCTCTCTCTTGTCTCCCCCCCATTGGATTGCTCTCCCACGCAAGCGCAGGCGTTTTAAAGCTCGTTGCTCTCTTTACAACGGTAAAACTCCGACAGCCGCAACACAATTTTGAGTACAGCGTGGCGGCTTGTGCTGTGCCAAAGCTTTTGAGACGGCGACAGCTGCTGTAAACAGTTGCGGGGCGACAGACGGGCACCAGGGTATGGGAATAACTGTGAACAGGGTAACATTGAGCACATGCATTCGCATTCCGGGCAAGGTATTATTTCTTCTTCGTGCCGTCAATGCAATGCTCCAAATTGTTGTTGTTGTACTCTTTCGTTTTGTTTCTTTTCATATTTCTTGGTCGTGTGGCACACGTCGTATGCGTGTTTCTTATTACGGGCGACTACGTCATCCATCTATCACCTGTATTCGCGTCTTATTCTTGGCCTCGCCTTTGCGCCTCTGTTTCTCCAAATCATGCTGGCATTTCGCGGGTATTTCCCAAGCACACACATTTGCGAAAATATAAAATGGCATGACTTGTATTTGGGCGAATGGGCGGGCAGTTAGGGTTGGGCTTACGAATACTGAATGGGTATCCATTTTGTGCCTTTAACTTGTTCGCTCATATTTCGCTTTTGCGTTCATTTTTCGCTTTTAAGTGCCTATGCAATTCGCTTGTTTGTTTGCTTATCGCCTCAAAATTGGATTTTCTTCTAAAGGCCCGAGTAAACAATTCGATTTATTTTTGTGGGATTTCGCTCATTATTTCTTTATATAATTAAAAAAGGGCATTACGGTCTAATCCCTTAAGATGTGGAGAGATGAGTTTATATGTACATATACATATACATAGATATATACATATATGGGTATATATGGGTGAATCACAAGCTCTAAGATTGGAAACACATTTGCACGAGAAGAATTACCTATTTATTTTATAATATTCTGTTATGAGAATTTATTCCAAATAATTATTCCAGTTGAACTGCGATTTTTAGAGGTTCTAGTACCTTCGAGTTCAAATTTTTGGGCTTTTTTTTTTCAAAAAGTTTTCTCTCTCAAATTGATCTATTCCCCTTGCAAAAAAAAAAACATATTTTGGACATCTTGGGCTATTTAAGCTTCCATTTAGCGTACAACAACCCCTGCGCAGACCCTTAAAAAGAATTGCTACCTAATGAAAAATAAGAAAACTTGTAGCAATCAAAAAATTAGCATAATTATGTTGAAAAGTGAACAACGAACCCGCAAAGAAGGAAGCACACACAACAATAACAATAACAAAAACAATTGGTCAAAGACTCCACAGAGCGAGAGAGGGAGAGAGCGAGAGAGAGAGAGAGAGGAAGGGAGAGAGAGAGAGAGTCGGATGTGTGCAAAAAGCATCCCTTCGCCGAACTATGCGGCGCTTTTAGTTCGTATCCTGGGGCAGGCTCAGGCACACGCATTTCAATTACACAGCTCTCCACGTTTTGAATATCAAAATAAATCGTAAACAAGGTCACATTCCGTGTGCGTGTGTGCGTGTGTATATTAATGCCACACAGATACACACAAACACACATTCACACACACAGAGACAGACAGACAGAGAGACAGAGACAAGTTTTGTGGAAAGTCTTGAATCGTTCTACTTATTGAAACGCGCTTCTTTCAACTTGCAGCAAAATGTGTGCCACAAACAACAAATCAAAGAAATTCTCAGTTAACCTGAACTCCATAGACAACAGAAAGTGAACAAAAAAAAAAAAAAACAAAAAAAAACAAGATTAACAAAATAAAGAACATAAGAATCCAAACTAAAAGAAAAGCTTTAACTAAATAATATTTTTAAAGTATACAACTATACATATACTAAGTAATAGTTATTAAAAACAAAAACAAAAACAAACAAAAACTTAGCTGTAAGCTGTAAGGACATATATTAATAATAATCATAAGTGAGAAACTTCGCAAGTGCAGAGACCAAAATATTACAAAAAAACCAAAAAAAAAACCTAAAGGCAGTTTGTGATTCTCGGTGATATGGTGTAAATGTGATAAACAATGTTATAAAAAGTTTTAATGTTAATTAAAAACAAAACAACAATAACTACAACAACAAACTCTAAACAAATTGTGTTTTTCGATTCTACGTCTTTTCGTTTTGCAACATTTTTTAAATAAACCAAAAACAAAGAAAAAAAAAATAAAAATAAAAAAAAACAAACTAAATAATCAACAACAATAATAACTATACTTATACTATATACACACACACACACATATATATATATATATATATATATATATATATATCTAAACTAAACTAAGCCTTGTCTCAATAAGCGAGTTTAAAATACAAATTAAAAACTAACTTTAAGTCGCACAAAAAACAAAAACATTACAAATTATTAAAAAATATAAACCTAAAAACTGTGGCTCAAGAAGGCGTCGAGATTTTTTCTAATCTTCTATCAACTGCACTGCCGGCATATTTTTGACTAAATATGATTTTACTCTAAAATAAAAACTAAAAAACTGAAAAGCCCAAATCCAGAATAAATACGTACAAAAACATAAAAAACAATAAAATAAAAAAAAAAATACCCACTCTAATCGTACGCAAAAATTCTTATGAAACCAAACAAAAAGACATCAAAACTGCAGCCAATAAAAAGAAGTTGGTGCGTTCAACAAAATGCAATAGTTTTTCTCACACGCAAAGGTAAAGCTAGGAAAACCTTTGACAAAATCTTAAGATTCTTGTTTTTAAGATAATACAGATATAATATTTAAGTAAACTCTAGTTGTAATACCTTTACTATAAATTCAATTATGCCTTCAATTGAAGTATTCAATTTTCAATCTGGGAATATGGAAATGTAGGAATAGTTTTTTTCTAACTAGGATCCATTTTTCATCCAATTATGGTGCTAAGCTTGAGTTCTTCTTATAAACAACTTGTTTGTGCACTTTCTTTCTTAACTTTCATTGTCTTTCTAAGGCACATCGCAAAACTGTGTTAATATCAAAATATATATCAAACATTCGAAAGATTTGCTAGCATGTAAATATATATATTTATTTTTATTGTACTCTTTTCTTAATCCCATGTGGTAAGTTTTTTAAATTTCTCCGGATAAAGTTTATAAATTCGTCATCAGCCGAGTCGTTAAACCCCCTAGAGTACTTTAGCATAATCCTAATCAAGAAAGTCGTAAAGCTCCATAAAGTATATAAATTCTATATCAGCTGTAAAGCTATCTCCGCTTGTCTCTGAAGATGTATAGATTTTCTGAGTGGACAAATTAGAAAACTTTTTGCAACAAAATAAAAAGAGAATTTGCATAAATATAATAACATGCTGGCAAGCTGTTCGTATATGCGATATACATATATCTATATTGATATAGTTAAAATATGTTAAGATATTTATTAAGTTTTAACGATATAGCATACATTTCTTTGACTCAGTAGAACAATAAGTTAGAGCTCCATAGAAAAATTTCTCGGGCAATGAAGATGAAATATTTGCCAACTTATCGAACGCTTGTGAAATGTCAGTTCTTTCCGACTTCGAGATATAACATATATAAATGGTTTAATGCATTTCTGTTTTGTGTCTTCTCTTTGCAGTACATTTTACATAAACTGTGATTATGAGTTCCACAAAATCTCAAGTAGCCCTTGCTACAAATATTCCAACCAACTTAGCCTCCGCCTCAGCCACCTCCACTGCGGCCACCGCCGTTGTTGTTGTCGCCGCCGTTGCCAGCAACAATCCAACGACGTCACCAGCAACTGCAGCAGCAGCGACTACAACTGCAACAGCAGCCGTGACGTCATCGACAGCAGCCGCAAGTGCAGCGACAACAACAGCAACAACAATAACAACAGCAGCCAGCAACAACAACAACAACAACAGCAACAGCAACGAGGAGCAATCGAACGCCTCCAATTTGGGGCGTCAAAACAGTTTTGGCAATAAACGCGTAAGTTGAACTACTCAAAAAAAAATAGAAGAATCTAGTTGCATTATATGCATCTAGCATATATCTATATATATATATATATATATATATAGGTCAGTTTGAGCTGAGTGTGTACTCAATCTCCTCGAGATTCTCTCGCATTCTCTCTCGCGACTCTCTGCACATGCAGCCATGAACTGGAACTGGCCCGTGCGACAAAAAGATACACGCCCAAAAAACTGCATAAACTGGGT